TCGGTGCATAGCGCGCCTCTGGCACTGGGCTCTTCTCGGCACTCTTCCCTTCGCTGGTGCCCAAGAAGAGGGACCTGTCACTGAGCAAGCCAGATCAAGGGGCATTGGCCAAAGGACTCTGCTTGGGTTGCCCACCCACACTGGAGCCACAAAGGGGCTCTGCCCTGGTTTGTACTACCCCCGTAAGGGACCCACCACTGACTCCAGGAAGTGGTAGGGGACCCAGACTGATGGCACAGTCAGTGCCCTCTCAGCTGCCGGTGCCCAGAGAGCAAAAAGTGCTCTCGCTGGTGCCGCATGCGACGATGGACCTGGCTAAGGCTACTCACGAGGGCAGGCTTGCTGTGAGGGCCTCCCAGAAGGCAAGTGAGCGCCACTGTTCTCTGGAGCCAAGGCAGAGCCCTGTGTCGCCACACCATTGGTCTCCACGTCTGCCCAAGTCATCAGTTCACTGCTACAGGTCTCTGGCACCACTTTGCCGGTCTCCACCCTCACACTAGGACTCACCTAGAGAGACACACCAGTCGTCTTAGCATTGATGGTCACCGTCACCAAGACCTCGGGGATGCTCCTCAACTCAGCGCAGCTCCCCCTACTCCCAGCAGCGGTCGGACCATTCCAGGCACTGGTCACACGCGGCGACGGTTAGCTGCCAGACCCCAGCCTTGACAGCCCTGCCATGGTCTCTGGAGGAAAAGGACTTCTCTGGCATGGAGAGGGAATTCAGCCCCTCACCTACACAGCATTGCGACTAGGCTCTGGAAGGTGCATCCGCTGTGGTGATGCAGACCTGGTAGCAGGGCCAGTGACCAACACAGTGACCCTATTGGAACGCCTCGGGCATACCCATTATGCTGATGCCCAAGTCCTACCAGTCCTCGGTCGCCGCATTGGACGAACCACAGTCCGCGCCGACAGCACTGGGCTTGGTGCAGGAGGCACCAGTGAGCACTGCGATGGAGGAACAGATGCCCACCCCGAGACCGCCTTTCCCGGCAGGGGAAGACATCTTGGGCCCTCCCCAGGTAGTCCAGTCATCCTCCTTTCTGGACGAGGCAGTGGCCGGGCCTTTCTGGGCTAGCCCAGTAGGTGACTTCAGAGAGCATCAAGCAGTGCTCTGCCAGGTGGCCACCAACTTGGGCCTCAAGGCGGAGGAAATGGCAGAGCAATTAGACACATTATTCATTGTGCTCTCCGCGTCCACTACTGCTTGTGTCGCACTCCTGGTGCACAAAGGGGTCCTGAATATTCCTAAGACCATCTGGCATACCCCGTTCTCATTCCCACCCACTTCCAAGAGGGCAGAAATGAAGCATTTTGTCCCCGCAAAGGGATTTGAATACTTAAACATCCACCCACAGTCATTAGTTGTGTCCGCAGGCAACGAAAAGGACAACCAGGGGCTGGTCAGTTCCACCCCCAAACATAAGGAGGCCAAAAGACTGGACCTTTTTGGACACGCAATTTATTCCATGGCTAATCTCCTAGTTCCAGGTGGCAAACCACCGGGCCCTTTTGAGGCCTTATTTTAATTTGTGGAACTCCCTCCTCAAGTTTAAGGACTTTATGTCCAGGAGGCCGCCCAAGAGTTAGAGGCTATGGTGAACTGTCCCAGGAGATGCAGGCCTTTATTCAGGACCTCCCGTTTGTTGGAGTTGGCCTGTTTTTTGACTAAATGGACACACGACTGCGCGGTCTAAAGGACGCTGGGGCCACCCTCCGCTCACTGGGGGTGCATATTCTTCAGTCTGCACTGCAGCCATTCCAGCTACTCCCGTCACCAGGGCAGTGGCAGCCTCGGCAGGGACTTGCAAGGAGAAGGGACACTGGTTTAGTTGCTGCCACCCTTCATCCTCCCTCTCTGGTGCAGCCTGGCCCAGCAAGACACCACGGAGGCCAGAAGTGGTCATTTTGAGGGAGCGCTCAAGAGCAATGCACCAGTCAGCTCCCCGGATCTGCCATCTTTACTTCAACCGTCTCTGTCCCTTCCATTCGGGTCGAGGGTCATCTCGGACCATTGGGTGTTAGACATTGTGTCATCAGTCAATGCCCTCCAATTTTCAGACCCCCCCCCCCTTTCCCGTCCCTCTTCAGGGACACTTCTCACAAGAACTCCTTGTTCAGGAGGAAAACAACCTATTGCAACTGGGGGGGAGGAACCTAGGAACTGAGTGGGGGGGGAAGGGTTCTACTCCCACTGCCTTCTGGATCAGGAAATAAGGGCAAAGGGGGTGGGGGGAGCCTATGTCCCATTCTGGATCTGCAACCGTTTAATACCTCAAGAAGTTGAAATTTCACATGATATCCCTGGCCTCCATCATTCCTTCCCTAGATTTGGGAGACTGGTATGCTGTTCTTGACTTGAGGGACACTTATTTCCATATCTCTGTCTTCCCAGGACACAGGTAGTTCCTTCGCTTCATGGTGGGCCAGCACCATTTCCAGTTTACAGTGCTCCCTTCTGGCCTGTCTTTGGCCCCATGGGTCTTTACAAAATGCATGGTCCTAGTAGCCGCTTACCTGAGATGCCAGGTGGTCCAGGTCTATCCTTATCTTGATTGGTTCATCAAGGGCAGATCATGGGATCACATGCAGAGCAGCCTTGATCTGGTGTGAGCCACGTGCTGCAACTTGGGCCTGTTAGTGAACGGAAGAAGTCAACCCTTGTACCAGTGCAATTGATAGAGTTCATCGGGGTGGTTATTGACTCCATGTGGGCAAGGGCATTTCTTCCAGAGACCCGCTTATGAGCCAGGTCGGATGTAATCTCCCATGTGAGGGGATAATAGGCTCACCACCGCCCACACCTGCCTCACTGTTGTTAGGTCATATGGCAGCCTATACTTACGTGGTCCGCCATGCCCAGATCCATATCTGCCCGCTGCAGGCGTGGTTGGCATCAGTCTACATCCCCAAGAGGCAAAACCTGGACTTGGTAATCAAGGTGCTGGACCATGTTCGGGCATCTCTGGCATGGAGAATGGACCCAGCATCCGTCTTGCAAGGAGTTTCCTTCGCAGCCCCGTCGTTCACTCTGGTGTCCAATGCCTCGGAACTAGGATGGGGAGGCCACCTAGGAGGGCTGAGTATACAAGGCCACTGGTCAAGGGTCCACTGTTCCCTCCACATAAATGTCAGGGAGCTCTGGGCAGTTCACCAGGCTTTTTGGTTCCAGTTGCAAGGCAAGGTGGTCCAAGTCCTGACTGACAACACCGCCACAATGTTTTATATCAACAAACAAGGCAGAGCCGGGTCATCAGCCCTTTGCCAGGAAGCCCCCTGGCTCTGGGATTTATGTGCAGCATGTAGGGAAGTGCACCTGCCCAGAACCAGGAATGTTTTGGCGGATCACCTCAACAGAATCTTCTCATCTCGCCACGAGTGGTCTCTCCATCCCAATGTGGTCAACCAGATCTCCCAGAAGTGGCAGTCTCCCCAGGTGCGGACCTGTTTGTGGCTTGCCAGAACAGGAAGTGCCATCTGTTCTGCTTGTTCCTGGAGATGGACAGGGACTCCCTGTCCGGCACCTTTCTACTCCTGTGGTCCGGGGCTCTGATGTATGCTTTCCCACAGATGCTGCTGCTCCACAAGATCCTCATGAAGGTCAAGCAGGACAAGACCAAGACCATTCTGATTTCCCTGTCTTTGCGTCAGCAGCACTGGTTCAACACGCTTATGGACCTGTCAGTGTCGTCCCTGATGCCACTGGCCAGATCTCATAAGTCTGAGGAGGAGTGTAGGTTGCAGTCCCTGGATGTCAGGAGTATGCTAGGCTTCTACATCGAAAGGACCAAACGATAAGAACTTAAGAATGGCCATACTATGTCAGACCAAAGGTCCATCTAGTCCAGAATCCTGTCTTCTGACAGTGGCCAATGCCAGGTGCCCCAGAGGGAATGAACAGGTAATCATCAAGTGATCCGTTCTCTGTCGCTCATTCCCAGCTTCTGGCAAACAGAGGCTAGGGACACCATCCTTGCCCATCCTGGCTAATAGCCATTGATGGACCTATCCTCTATGAATTTATCTAGTTTTTTTTAACCCTGTTATAGTTTTGGCCTTCACAACATCCTCTGGCAGAGTGTTCCACAGGTTGACTGTGCATTGTGTGAAGAAATACTTCCTTTTGTTGGTTTCCATTTTGCAAGTTGACTCAGTTTGTCATGGTGGCAGATAGGATGAAAGGTTGTCCGGGTGTCCACCCAGAGAATTTCATCTTGGATCTCCGCGTACATCTGTTTCTGCTATGATCAGGCACAGGTGCCTCTGCTGGCGATTGTAACTGCTCACTCAACTAGAGCGCAGGCCTTGTCAGCGGCCTTCCTGGTCCAAGTGACCATTCAAGATATCTGCAGAACCGCTCCCTGGTCATCCATTCACACGTTCACATCTCACTACACGCTTACCCAACAAGCTTGAGATGATGCTGGCTTTGGTAGAACGGTGCTGCAAGCTGCAAGACCGTGAACTCCAAGCCCACTTCCATAGATACTGCTTAAGTCACCTAGAATGGAATTGACATGAGCAAGCACTTGAAGAAAAAACGGTTACTCACCTTTTTTGTAACTGTCATTCTTCGAGATGTGTTGCTCATGTTCATTCCATTCCCCACCCTCCTGCCCTTCTGTCAGAGTTGCTGGCAAGAAGGGACGACTGCTGGCGCCTGATATACCAATGCCTGAATGTGGCACACCAGAGGGCGCCACAGCCGACCCTATGGATACTGCTAAGGTAAGAGTGTCTGACAACTGTGCACATGGGCGCGCACACACCTAGAATGTAATGGACATAAGCAATTAATCTCTAAGAACAGCAGTTACAAAAAAGGTGGGTAACCATTTTTTCCCAAGAATTAAGACTATCCCTGCTGACGCTGATGTTGCTAGCTCTCCAATAGGTGTGTGGGGGAGGTTCCTTCAAACATACAATGTGAAAAACCAATGTAATTAGGGGGGGAAGTTGTCACGCACCTCAGAGACTAACACTGTTTTTTATTTTAGGGCAATGTGTACGTCAAATGCCCTTCAATCGCTGCTGCCATTGCAGCTGTCAATGCATTGCATGGAAGGTGGTTTGCAGGTGAGTAAAGGCTGCTTAAAGACCTGAGTTCTCATTATAGACTAAGACATTAAAAACATCTTTTTATCTTTTGATTAGGTAAAATGATTACAGCAGCGTATGTACCTCTTCCAACATACCACAATCTTTTTCCTGATTCCATGACTGCGACCCAGCTACTGGTTCCTGTTCGACGATGAAGATGGATTTCATCATTTTTGTATATAACTATTTTTTGGAGGAAAATTGAGTTATCTTTTATTTAGATAAAACTAAAGGAAAGGGTTTAATGTCATTTTGTGTACACTTCCCGTTACCTTTAAAAAATATAAACTGAGTAAGCAGGAATGCAGTGTGCTCATTCTCCCTAACTAGCATTCCCACTGTGTACAAAGCTGTTGACTTATTGTTCTGCCTTGTAATTCTTGTACATTTACTAAGGTGTTCTGTAGGAACCGAGAAGTAGCTCATAGAAACGAATTTTCTGTAAAAGGCAGATGGGACATAATGACATTTTTAATGTTTCACAAGCCTTTCTTTTAATGCAGTAATTACATTTTACATTTCACTAAATATAGGTGCTCTGTTAAAGGTCAATATCCGATAGAATTTATGAAGGGACATATTTAGTGTTTTGTATAAATGGAGAATTCAAAAGGCTACCGAAGGAGCTGGTTTTGGTCAGCTACACAGCTTGTTTTATGCTGAACAGTTGATAAGAATGGGAGGATTCAAGCGTTTTATTTCTTGATGGCAACTTTTGATTGATGTATCTGTAAAAGTTTCTTTGTAAATACTGTGTGAGGTGTGTCTAGGGTTCCAAACAAAACACTCCCTGCATTTCCAGAGAAAAGTTGAATTGAATACAGGTAGTGTGCACAGTTTAATGATACTCAGCAAAGCCTAAGAATAAGTAGAAAATGCAGAAATATGTTTTGTCTGGTTGCATATAATCTTTGCTCTTTTTAAGCTCTGTGAGCTCTGAAATATATTTTTGGGTTACTTCAGTGTGTTTGACAAGACAGCTTGATATTTCTATCAAACAAATGACTTTCATATTGCAACAATCTTTGTAAGAACCACTCAAAAATAAAATTCTCTTAAAAAGGCCTCCAGAAGCTTTGTTTCAGCTGAATCTGATTTAGGACTACAGGCAGCATAAATGGAAAAATTGGAGTGAGAATGGTGGCGTTCTCCTTCAAATGCTAGGAAATTAGCATTACTCTAAAAGTATTTTCTCTCTGGGTGTAAGTTGGCATGTCAACAGCTAGTGTGTGTTAATTACGCAACCACCGTGTAGTTAAGGAGGCTTCAAAGTTTCGTAGATGTGGGCAAGGTCTGGGAGTCAAGATCTCTTGCACTCCTATCCCATCTCTGTCACTGACACGGTGTGTGGATTTAGGCAAGTTGCTACCATTTCTCTTTTCCAGGAGTAACTAGTTGTCCGGGGTGCTGAGGATTGTTTATCAAGTACAGTGAAGAGCATGATATAAGTGTAGGGATGGATACAGTTGACCTAGGTAACCAAACACACCCTTTTATGTGCTGAGTTGAAGGCACCACGGGTGTCTAACAACAGGGTAGTTTTTCTTGTTTTTGACCCCTACTTTAATAATTTTATTAATATGCTGCAGTACTGCATAAGGTGATGGAGTAGCATTTCAACTCTCCAAAAGCAGCAGTGTTACTGTACTTTTTTGTAACTTAGGTACCTGTTACAGGCAGTAAAAGTAAATTTTGGCCCTGGTCTGCTGGAGCATGTGGAGAGTTGGCTTGTCATGTTGCAGAGGTGCTCCTCATTTCCAGCTAAGGGCTCATCCGTGCAAGGGGGTCATGTCAGTTTAACTGAAATGACATAAAACAGGTGCAAAAGGCTGTGTGGATGCTATTTTTAGTTTACAGTGGGCTTGCTTCTGTTGATTAGGAATCTGTTTAAGCCGTACCGCTGTAACCTGTGTGGACACTCATTCTAGTTTAGGACTGATTTAACCAAATCAGTTTTAAAAGAAACCACATCTTTAAGTTGATGCAAACTCATTTGGATAAAACCAAAGAGAAACCAAACTGATGGGGAGAGAAAGATGAGGAAGAGCAAAAGGAGACGAGTTTTTTCTTTGAGTGATGGTCCCTCTTGTACTCCATTGTGGTTTACGCATGCGCACCCTGTACCTGGGGTCAGAGAATTTTAAAGTGTTAGTTGATCTGTGCATGCACCCTGACTTGCCTTGTGCTTCCATCAAGGCGGTGGTGGGGGAACCACATCTCCAGTCTCTTCTCACCAGCACATGGTCTGGATCAGAACCTTCAGTGTCCTTGTTTCTGATTACAGTTATAAATGGTTTTAACTATAGGTGTAGTAGTGTTGTTTTTCCCCCCTTGTTACAGTGGTAACTAGTTTTTTAACAGGGAGTTTACTTGTACCACTGTTCAGGTACCAGCCTATGGCCAGAACTCCAGGCTTCAAACTCTCTGCCTCCTGCCCATGATTCTTCTCTGTCAGCTAGGTGCGGTATTTACCAGTCCTTCCCCAGATGTACCTGAGAAGGCTGAGCACTTTGTCTCTGGAAGTATTTCATGGAGATGGCATTCGGACCCAGGCCAGGGAACCCCTCCCCCAGACATCAGCCTGATTCAGTGAGGAATGTGTCTCCTGATGCTACATCTGACTCTGGCTGGCAGACCCACCCCCATAATAGGACCCTGTTGGGAGATTAGGAAGCAGTCCAATAAGCATAAGGACCTTCCTCCAGGTCCAAGAAACTGGACATTCCTTCCACCAGCTCAGCACAAGGGGACACAGCACATTGTAAGTCCCACAGGCACAGGAAGAACCATAACCAATGGGATCCAGTGAAACCGGGTGGTGAACTAAAGAAGTTTGGGGACCTTAGTGATGAATGTTTACCCGAGCCCTGAATGTTGTGCCCCTACTGGTTGTGGTGGCAGCTTTTCTAGCTGTGCCAGTCAGGTTTTGATATGTACTCACAGACTTAACTCTAGGGTCTGATCCTCAGTGGAGCCCTGTCCCATGGACATTTTTATACACACAAACCATGAAAAAATGGGTGATTATCATTACAAAAGGTTTTTTCTCCCCCCCACCCTACTCTCCTGCTGGTAACAGCTTATCTAAAGTGATCACTCTCCTTACAATGTGTATGATAATCAAGGTGGGCCATTTCCAGCACAAATCCAGGGTTTAACAAGAAGGTCTGAGGAAGCGCCGGGGGTGGGGGGGGGTAGGAAAAAACAAGGGGAAATAGGTTACCTTACATAATGACTTAGCCACTCCCAGTCTCTATTCAAGCCTAAATTAATTGTATCCAATTTGCAAATGAATTCCAATTCAGCAGTCTCTCGCTGGAGTCTGGATTTGAAGTTTTTCCTGTTGTAATATTGCAACTTTCATGTCTGGAATGGCGTGACCAGAGAGATTGAAGTGTTCTCCAACTGGTTTATGAATGTTATAATTCTTGACATCTGATTTGTGTCCATTTATTCTTTTACATAGAGACTGTCCAGTTTGACCAATGTACATGGCAGAGGGGCATTGCTGGCACATGATGGCATATATCACATTGGTAGATGTGCAGGTGAACAAGCCTCTGATAGTGTGGCTGATGTTGTTAGGCCCTGTGATGGTGTCCCCTGAATAGATATGTGGGCACAGTTGGCAACGGGCTTTGTTGCAAGGATAGGTTCTTGGGTTAGTGGTTCTGTTGTGTGGTATGCAGTTGCTGGTAAGTATTCACTTCAGGTTGGGGGGCTGTCTGTAAGCAAGGACTGGCCTGTCTCCCAAGATCTGTGAGAGTGTGTTGGGTCATCCTTCAGGATAGGTTGTAGATCCTTGATAATGCGTTGGAGGGGTTTTAGTTGGGGGGACTGAAGGTGATGGCTAGTGGCATTCTGTTATTTTCTTTGTTAGGCCTGTCCTGTAGTAGGTGACTTCTGGGAACTCTTCTGGCTCTATCAATCTGTTTCTTCACTTCAGCAGGTGGGTATTGTAGTTGTAAGAATGCTTGATAGAGATCTTGTAGGTGTTTGTCTCTGTCTGAGGGGTTGGAGCAAATGCAGTTGTATCGCAGAGCTTGGCTGTAGACAATGGATCGTGTGGTGTGGTCAGGGTGAAAGCTGGAGGCATGTAGGTAGGAATAGCGGTCAGTAGGTTTCCGGTATAGGGTGGTGTTTATGTGACCATCGTTTATTAGCACTGTAGTGTCCAGGAAGTGGATCTCTTGTGTGGACTGGACCAGGCTGAGGTTGATGGTGGGATGGAAATTGTTGAAATCATGGTGGAATTCCTCAAGGGCTTCTTTTCCATGGGTCCAGATGATGAAGATGTCATCAATATAGCGCAAGTAGAGTAGGGGCATTAGGGGACGAGAGCTGAGGAGGCGTTGTTCTAAGTCAGCCATAAAAATGTTGGCATACTGTGGGGCCATGCGGGTACCCATAGCAGTGCCGCTGATTTGAAGGTATACGTTGTCCCCAAATGTAAAATAGTTATGAGTGAGGACTAAGTCACAAAGTTCAGCCACCAGGTTAGCCGTGACATTATCGGGGATAGTGTTCTTGACGGCTTGTAGTCCATCTTTGTGTGGAATGTTGATGCAGAGGGCTTCTACATCCGTAGTGGCCAGGATGGTGTTTTCAGGAAGATCACCAATGGATTGTAGTTTCCTCAGGAAGTCAGTGGTGCCTCGAAGGTAGCTGGGAGTGCTGGTAGCGTAGGGCCTGAGGAGGGAGTCTACATAGCCAGACAATCCTGCTGTCAGGGTGCCAAAGCCTGAGATGATGGGGCGCCCAGGATTTCCAGGTTTATGGATCTTGGGTAGTAGATAGAATATCCCAGGTCGGGGTTCCAGGGGTGTGTCTGTGCGGATTTGATCTTGTGCTTTTTCAGGGAGTTTCTTGAGCAAATGCTGTAGTTTCTTTTGGTAACTCTCAGTGGGATCATAGGGTAATGGCTTGTAGAAAGTGGTGTTGGAGAGCTGCCGAGCAGCCTCTTGTTCATATTCCGACCTATTCATGATGACAACAGCACCTCCTTTGTCAGCCTTTTTGATTATGATGTCAGAGTTGTTTCTGAGGCTTTGGATGGCATTATGTTCTGCACAGCTGAGGTTGTGGGGCAAGTGATGCTGCTTTTCCACAATTTCAGCTCGTGCACGTCGGCGGAAGCACTCTATGTAGAAGACCAGTGTGCTGTCTCGACCTTCAGGAGGAGTCCACCTAGAATCCTTCTTTTTGTAGTGTTGGTAGGGAGGTTTCTGTGGATTAGTATGTTGTTCAGAGGTGTGTTGGAAATATTCCTTGAGTCGGAGATGTCGAAAATAGGATTCTAGGTCACCACAGAACTGTATCATGTTCGTGGGGGTGGAGGGGCAGAAGGAGAGGCCCCGAGATAGGACAGCTGCTTCTGGGCTAAGAGTATAGTTGGATAGGTTAACAATATTGCTGGGTGGGTTAATTGTGCTGTTAATAGAATACTGTTAGTTAAATATTTTTGGATGTTTTCTAAATTTTGAACTATTGATTTCAATTACAACAGTATGAAGTGTACAGTGCTTGGTTTTTTTATTACAAATATTTGCACTATAAAAAAACTGTATTTTTCAATTCCTCCATTGCAAGTACTGTAGTGCAATCTCTTTATCATGAAAGTTGAATTTACAAATGTAGAACTAGGTAAAAAAACAAACCTGCATTCAAAAATAAAACAATGTAAAACTTTAGAGCTGACAAGTCCACTCTGTCCTCCTTGTTCAGCCAATTGCTCACACAAACAAGTTCGCTTACATTTGTAGGAGGTTATGCTGCTTGCTTCTTCTTTACAATAACAACGGGGAGTCCGGTGACACATTAAAGACTAACAGATTTATTTGGGCATAAGCTTTTGTGGGTAAAAAATCCACTTCTTCAGATGCATTGTTTTGAGTGCAGGTATGTAACCAAAAAGAAAAATCTACATTTGTAAGTTGCACTTTCACAATAAAGAGATTGCACTAATGTACTTGTATGAGGTGAATTGAAAGACTCTTATCATTTTGAGTGCAAATAATTAATCAGAAATATGAAGTGAGCACTGTACACTGTATTCTGTGTTGTAATGAAATCAATATATTTGAAAATGTAGAAAAACATTCAAAAATATTTAGTACATTTCACTTGGTGTTCTGTTGCTTAATAGTGTGATTAAAATGGCGATTAATCTGGATTATTCTTTAATTGATTTTTTTTTTAGTTAATTGTGTGAGAACTGCAATTAATTGACAGCCTTATTCTATCTAAATCCATGGTACACTCACATCTTGTACGCGGTGTGCAGATCTGGTCGCCACATCTCAAAAAAATATATTGGAAAAGGTACATAGAAGAGCAACAAAAATGGTTGAGGGTATGGAACAGCTTCTGTAGGAGGAGAGATTAAAAAGATTGGGACTATTCATCTTGGAAAAAAGATGATGGGGGGGAGAATGTGTTAGAGGTCTATCAAAATCTTGACTGATGTGGAGAAAGTGAATAAGAAAATGTTTACTCCTTCATGTAACACAAGATCTAGGGGTCACCCAATGAAATTAACAGGCAGAACGTACTACTTCATGTAACGCACAGTCAACCTGTGGAACTCTTTTTGCAAGGGGATGTTGTGAAGGCCAAATCTATAACAGGTTCAAAAAAAGAAATAAGTTCCTGGAGGATAGGTCCATCAATGGCTATTAGCCAGGATGGGCAGGGATGCAACACCATGATCCGAGTATCCCTAGACTGACAGAAGCTGGGACCGGATGACAGGGGATGGATCATTTGATGACCTATTGATGATCTACTGTTCTGTTCATTCCTTCTGACACACCTGTCATTGGCCACTGTTGGAAGCCAGGATACTGGGCTGGATGGACCATTGCTGTGACCCAGTATGACTGTTCTTATGTGAGACTTTGATACAGTCTCCCCAGGCTCATGGAGAACACAGTATGTCATGCATCATCATCTGAAGAGGGCACTAGAACAACTGATGAGAGAAAATTCTCAGCCCTTGCCCAAAAGGATGTGGGACATGGTCTAAGTAGAGGTGCAGGCAATACAGAGAACGGGGGTCAGCGTGGAGTCCAAGAATGACTGGAGGACCTTTATAGTCCTGGTCCCCAAAGCGGATGGCACATTCCAATTCTGTCTCAGGTCAGTTCGCCACAGCTTGATGCTTACATAATGCCACAGGTGGATGAGCTGTTAAGAGCGGCTGGGCCTGGCTTGATGGATCTTACAAAAGGCTATTGGCAGATCCCTGTCTTCATACTCCTACCTCCTTTGGCCATTTCCAACTTTAAAAACATTTGGCCTGCAAGGGGTTGCAGCAACTTTCCAGAACCTGATTAATCGAATCCTTCAACCCTAAAAGCAATACACTGCAGCTTACCTTGATGACATTGTAATTTGTAACCGCACAGAACAGACTATTGGGAATCATTAAGAAAGGGATAGATAATAAAGAAAATATATTCTCTATATAAATCCATTGTATACCAACATCTTGAATACTGTGTGCAGATGTGGTCACCCCCTCTCAAAAAGATACATTGGAATTAGAAAAGGTTCAGAAAAGGGCAACACAAAGCGTTAGGGGTATAGAACAACTTCCATATGAGGAGAGATTAATAAGACTGGGACTTTTAGTCATCTCTTTTCCAAGCTGAAGAGGATATGATAGAGGTCTATAAAATCATGACTGGTGTGGAGAAAGTAAATAAGGAAGTTTTATTTACTCATAACACATGAACTAGGGGTCACCAAATGAAAGTAATAAGCAGCAGGTTTAAAACAAAATGAAGTATTTTTTTCACACAACACACAGTCAATCTGTGGAACTCCTTACCAGAGGATGTTGTGAAAGTCAAGACTAACAGGGTTCACAAAAGAACTAGGTAAGTTTGTGGAGGATAGGTCCATCAATGGCTATTAGCCAGGATGGGCAGAGATGGAGTCCCTAACTTCTGGTTGCCAGAAGCTGGGAATAGGCAACAGGAGATGAATCACATGGTTATTACCTGTTCTGTTCATTCTCTGGGGCAGCTGGCATTGGCCACTGGCAGAAGACAGGATACTGGGCTAGATGGATCTTTGGTCTGACCTAGTATGGCCGTTCTTATGTTCACATATGGGAGGACCACCTCAGTCACCTAAGAGTAGTAGTCACTTCCCTGCCAAGGGTAAGTAGGCCATGATAGAAGTGATTTATTGAGGATATTGGGTAGGAGGAAGCCTTATGAAACCACTGATAAAGTCCATGTGGTAAACTCGTGCCCTATACCACAGACCAGAAGAGAGAAATGCTTCTTCCTTGGTCTGGTGGGACACTCACTGGTTCATCCCCTAGTTTGCATTGACTGAACTGCTGCTAAAGGGCAAAGTCACCAAAAAGATCCACTGCGATGACTATTGCAATGAAGCTTTAACACCCTGGAGGTGCAGCTGAGCTGGGAGCCTGTCCTTGCCAATCCAGACTTCTCCAGGCCTTCATTCTCTATACAGATGCAGCCAATGTTGGCCTGGGCAGTGGTGCTCTCCCAGGACTTTGAAGGCAAAGAGCACCCCATCCTACATTTGAGTAAAAAATGGTTTCCTAGGGAGAAATCATATTCTATTACTGAGGCGGCAGCTTAGACAACAAATGTATTATGGAAGCCTTTGGGTATTACCTGCCGGGTAGTCCCTTCTCCCTAGTCACAAACCATGTACCTTACAGTAGCTACACTCTCTGAAGGACTCACACCTCCAGGTTATGTGCTGGTATCTGGCACTCCAGCCCCGCAGCTCCCAGGTGCAGCACTGTGCTGGGAAGGAACATGCAAATACAGATTCTTTTCACCCAGAGACTGGGAGCTGCTTGAACAAGAAAGCTTTCTGGTCTTGGGGCAAGTGCGTGATGGATGCATCCCCATTCCACTGACAGCAAGCTTAAGAAGCATCCCACACCCTGGCCATGCCATTAGGTATATGTGTAGAGCATGCCCTTCCTGGAGAAGGGGAGCTTACAAAGGTAAAGCTGGCCCAAGAAGAGAGGCTGCTAGAGACTGCTAGGAAGCCCAGTAGCCAGGGGAACCCAGCCCAAGGCAGTGACTAGCTTTCCCTTTCCCACCCCCTTGTTTAGGGCTGATACCCTGCAGCCCTGAGAGAGGCTCTGGATATCTGCTCTCTGTCAGCACCTCAGAGTTGAACCTGAGGAGCAGTGCCAAGGACTGGAGATAATTAGACTTAGGAAGGATCTTGGAAACAAGCCCTACTCCTGCTGGGAACAGTGAGCTTGCTCACAAGTGGGGGACCCATAGGCAAGAGACCGAAAGGTACAATGGCCAAGCCCAGCCTGAGAACCAGCTGATTGTCGGAAGGTAACAGGGTGGCTCTCTTTGATCAGGTTTGCCTTATACTTCTATAATTCCAGATTTCAGGTTCCCTCTTCTCCACCTGTGGAAAGGGGCACTGTGTTTTGTCTCTGCTGTGGGCTGTTTCTTCATAAACACAGGCAGTGAGGAGTTGAGTAGAAAACACTGCAGTTACAATTTGTTGAGGGCGCACTAGCAGAGTCTTGTACTGCGTTTTATGATCTCACTAGGATTGAGCATTCAACATTTTAGATACCCAAAGATTTTATTATATTACATAGGTGGAATGATTGAACAGGGGCATTAGTCTTCAGGTTAAAAAAATCCCATGCTCCAGGTTAGCAGCGGATTCCCATGCCAATGGCCATGAATGTCCCAAACGTGCCACCACTTTGCATCATGGTTTTGCCAACTCCACCCATCAGTTCTCGTCCTCTCATGCCAATCCTGAAAGAGAGAAAACAGTTCAGGATTCAACACAGGCTGACCAAGGCCATTCTACTGCTGAAGTGACAATCCATCCCTGACAGACATTGGAAAGCATATTGGATTTTATCATCGGACTTTCTGTATCAGGTGACTGGCATGAGAGTTGGCTTCATTCACTTCTAGACTGTACAGACAACGTGCTTTTTAGGTTTTGGAGCACGTGACTTCAGGGTGCATGGGATGAGTGGGAGGGGAGAATGGCTGCAATCTCTTGTGGCTGTGATCCATTGGAAGGACTGGGAGGGGCAGCTTGCTCCTTTGTGGCTGTGACATGTCAGTTATATAGGCTCAGGATGAGAATTCACCACTCTGTATGTATGAAGTGCCAGAGGTGGAGAGACTCTGCAGCCTTGCAGCTGGGCCCTGCCTAGCTGCATGTGCTCAAGGCAGTGAGATTTACCTCATTTAAAGGGACATTATCAACTGAAAATGAAGTGAGAACTTTTAAAGCCCAAGTGAATCTTTGCTACAGCTGCATTTTTTTTTCCTGTTTGCAAGAGGTTGGACAATAAAAATAAGCAAAGTGATTTTCTCTCTCAGGTTTTCCTGCTGCAATATATGCATGGAAACACTGCATGGAAAGTTTAATTGTTTGTAACCACTTGTGTGCATTGGGACTTTTAAAATGTGCTGGTTTATTTGCCACGAGTTTTATAAACATATGTTTTTACCTGAGTTAAATTTTGGGGCAAATTGAAGCAGCTAATGTCCCTTTAACCACGTCAGATAAAAAACAATCTCTTATTGCTCCTTCAGATCATCCATGATTGCATTTCCTGCCAATATTGTGGTACCTATGAACAACATTCATTAGGATTTGAAGAGGATCAAGGGGAGGGATACGTGGGGGATGTGTGTGTTGTTTTTTTAAACAACTTTTAGAACAACTCATGGTTCTTGTTTCTCCCACTCAGTGTAAAGTCTTTGTCATTTATCAGTGATGTTAGCTGAAGAGAATTCAAATAAGCGAATATATATTTTTGGTGTAAGATACTAAATATCCCCTTGATCTACCAGTTCTTTATAATATTCCATGTGCAGAGAAACACTGAACACCTCAGGATAACTACTCTCAACAAATGAGTCATTGAAATGCAATGAAAACAGTATGGAACAGGATGTGAAGACAACGGAAGGCCCTGCCGGCTGCCACGTACAACCTCCAGTGCTAAGAGAACAGCTCTTTGTATGTGGCAAGCAAAAGCAGCTTGTCCAATCTCTAATTCTATGACTTGGATGCTCCAAATCTTCAGCCTCGTTTAGAGTCACAGGTAGCATTCCATCTACGTTACCAAAATGGAACAAGGTCTTTAGATCTCCTTCCTCTGTCCCAGTTTCTCCTAGGACTGACATTTACAATTAACTGACTCCAACATACCTGAGGCAGGAAAATGTGCCAAACAGTGCCCCTGCCGCCATGCCAACAGCAAAGCCCATCATGAAGCCCATTTTCACTCTGTCAAAGCAGTTGGGCTGGGACTGTCCATATGGCCCCACAGTCACAGGCATCTGGAAAAGAAGCAAGACACTTAAACAAAAAAAAAAGCCCCTCCCCCCACCACCACCGACCCATCTCCTCCCGTGAATGACAAGCGTCCTGCTGCCCAACTGGATTGGACAGCAGCAGTTGTGAAGACACTATGTGCTTGAGGCCATGTCTATACTGGAGAGTTTACAGTGGCACAGCTCTTCCAATACAGCTGCGCTGCTGTAAGACCTCTCGTGTAGCCGCTCTCTGCCAACGGAAGAGAGCGCTCCCGTCGGCACAGCACTGTCCACAGCGGCGCGTCTGTCAGTGTAACTTGTGTCGTTCAGAGGTGTGGTTTTTTTCACATCCCCGAGCGACAGGATTTATACCGACTGAAGTGGTAGGGTAGACTTAGGCTATGTCTACACTGCACTTTCATTGTTAAAACTTTTGTCGCTCAGAGGGTGTGAAAAACACACACCCCTGAATAAAAGTTTTAATGATGAAAAGCGCTGGAGTGAACAGCGCTTTGTCAGTGGAGAAGCTATTGCCCCTTGTTGGTGTGGTTTTATTTTGTCATCAGGAGAGCTCTCCCCTGGTAACAAAGGGGGGCTATGCCGCACGTCTTACAACGGCAAAGCTTCAGCGGCATGGCTGTGCTACTGGAAGCTGTGCAGTGTAGACATAGCCATGGCCTGAGTCTCCTACAATTTAGGAGAGTGCATGTGCAAACTGAGTATTTGCATGCAAATGTGACTAGCTAGTTCTCTGTAACTGCTCATTCAGCTACCACTTATTAGCACCTAAAAAGACTTTTCTATAGAAATGTACAAGCAAAACACTGAGCAACCTTATTCCAGAGCCTCAGCTTTACTTTGTCTCTCCACCTTACAGTTCCCATTCCTAGACACACTGTCAGGGAACAGAGAAGGTTTTCACAGCCTTGCATCTTGGCCCAATACTGGGGACAGACGGAGCAAAAGGAGGACTGTCCTGATCACAGACTTGTTTTGCTCCCACACAAACCTTCACACCCCCATTAACAGTCACTATATTTCTGACAAAGGACTTGAGGGGACTCCATTCAGTCTGAGAGAGTCGCTCCCTAATAAGCATTGCCTGGAGGGATTGTTGAAAGCAGAAATCCTTCCATCCCTGAACATACGGCATCCACAGCACTCCCACACACCCTACTGTCTGATGCATGAAACAGCCACCTCCCAAATTCCTAGCTCCTAGGCTATTATGTCGATTCCCCCCCCCCCCCATGAAAAATGGTCACCCATTCAGAGCAGGGGGAAAAAAATCTGACAGGACTTCACTTTCTGTAACAAAGATTCACATTAAGGTTCCCCTGTGCTCAACACTGTATGTGAATTTCAGTACTTGCAAAAGGTGCTGGCTGACAGCTCTGGAGATTGTGGTTCTTTTCATTCCCAGAACACACAGTATGGGCAACTGTCGTGCACCATTCTCCACATTGCCCCATTGATATGCTGCTGCCTGCTGGAGAGACCACTTTTAGGAATTTGAGTAGAGTTCAGTTGCCATACCTGCTCAATCTGTGGTGGTGGTGGTGCATGTCCAGTATGAACTGGACTAAGACTAATAACTCATTTTACATGGGGCACTGGTCAGTCATCTGATGGTAATAACTTTCAGTTACTAAAAACCTGAGCTGAAACTGAATGATGACCTTGTAATTGAAAGGCTCGGTATTCCTTTTCTAATCTGCCAATGAGCCATCCAGTCTCCCTAATATCTACATTTAATAGGCACTCAATTATTGGATTAGAGAGAATTTCTAATAGCTTGGACTTCCCCTGCCCAATACGGTGCAGACAAATGGCATTTTGAAACAATGAGCAAAGGTAAAGGAGAGGAACGATTAGATAAGAGGCGGACTTTACAATGGGTCGGCGTGTGCAAATGCACTGGACTAACATAACAGATGCAAAAACAAACACCTATTGCATAATTCTGGACTACTGATAATAAATAATAATCTTACTTAGCTCACATATTTAACAGGATGGTGGTGAACAGCATAACAGATGTCTGGCATTAAAGGACTGTCCAGACAACAAATTATAGTGTTTTAAAACTGAGTTAGCTAGCATAATTTCTAACCCCCTTTTACATTTAGTATAGATACAATTAGCACCTTTAATTTGGCTGGTCATGTTATAACCTAGAGGGAGCCTGCACTAAATGTAAAAGGAGATTTCAAATTATGTTCGCTAACCAGATTTGAAAAAGTATTTTCATTGTCCAAATGGACACTAATAAACTCTCCCTGCTCCCTCCAGTCCCTAGGACTCAAACGCTCACACTTTGTCAGTGAAAATCAGAAATACTATATATATTCATAATTTGTTACAAATTGGGCTCAGATTTTGACAGCTCATTCTTACAAACATCAGTCTAGGTTTTATGCTTCTTTCTCTGTTCCTACCAAGTATCATAAACTCTCTACATTCTGCATTCACAGTTGGCAGATATATTTGGCCAACAGACAGAAATTACTAGTTTTATTATGTCCCTCCTCCCAAAAAAACCCAAGGTAGAGACGTAAAACTGCCTCCATCCAGATTGTGCAGCAACCAAAACTGCTCATCTGAAGGCTGCAAAAAAATCCTTGAACTGCCTGTTGCTTTTTAAACTCAGTGGTATTATTCTAACCAGGACAAACATAGTCTCCTTGGCCATAAAGCATTTTGCGTGATGCCCAGAACACAAAGAGTGTCCTTCTCCAGCAAGTTTCACTCACATAAAGAAGCATGTACAGAAAATTGTCAGTGACTGGACATTTCTGAGCAGCTACGCTGTGAACGGCTTTGGCCAGAGCAGAGAAGAGGCTGCTTCCGTTCCCCTACCTTGTCCCAAGAGGGGCATGGTCAGTAATGGAGACTAGGAAGAAATGTAATGAGCTACAGCAGCAAGCAATAAAGCTTCCATCGGGAAGGAGCCTGGGCAGTCCAGCTCAGAGAGGAAACGGTCGGAACAGAGCATGAGAGAGGCAGACAGAGGGGGCCAGGCCCCGGCTCGCTCCGTCACAGAGGGGCTCGGAGACTGTAGAGGAGCCTGCGGAACTCACGGCCACGGGACACTGGTGCGGCCCCCAGCTTGGCAGGGCTGGGGCAAGCCCTGGCGCCTGCACCGCGCGAGCCGGGACCCTGCGGCCACCGGCTGGGGAAGCTCCGCGGGGCCCGGCTGATCCCAGGCTCTCCGTGGCCCGCTCCCGGGGGCGCCGGAGGACCCCTCACCTCGCTCCTCGCCTCCGCCCAGCGCGCTCCAGTCTCTCCGTCACTTCCGGCGCGCTGCGATGACGACACGCGGGTCGGGGTGAAAGGGCAGTGGCTGTTTCCGGGCTTGGCTGGTGCCGGGATGCTGCTGCTGCTGCGGAGGGCGGCGGCGTTGCCGAGGCTGCGCGGGCTCGGGGGGCCGCCGGCCCGGCGGCTCTCGGGGGCGGCCCGGCGCCATGGGGGTGAGCGGGGCGAGTCCGCGCGGGGCCGGGCGCGGAGCGGAGCCCGGGGGCCTGGCGGGGCTCGGGCGGCGGCAAAGGTGCCGAGCAGTCGCGGGGACCGGGGGCTGCTCGGCTTGGCCCCGCCGGCGTGTGGTGCCTGGCGGGCACGGGAGCGGGGCGGGGATGGCCCGTGAGAAGGGAGCCCCCTGGGTCTAGTGCTAACCTGGCCTCAATTCCCCGCCCCCCGCGGTCCCCCCTGAGTCCCTCGGGCCGGGCTCTCTGTGCCCCCGTTGTCCCCTGTGAACGGGGACCATGGCCCACCCGAGTGTCGTGACGGGCTTGTCAGACACAGCAGCGATGGCGGCCAGAGAAGCACCTCCGAGAGATGCATCACGCCTGATGTTTCTTTTTTTGCACGCCGTGCTGCCTGCTCCCCTGGGCGGGCTGGAAAGCCAGTTGCCAGAATGCAGGGCGCGTCCTTCTCCCCTCTCCTAGCAGTGCAGATCGTGACTGGCTCTCCTTTGGAGCGCCAGACGAGGTGCATGTTCGCATTAGAAAGGTTCCAAGCTCACTGTGGGTTCCCTGATTTCTTTTCCTGCACGGCTGTCCGCTCCTGTTGTTGGAAAGTTTTGCTTGTCTTCTCTCCTTTGCATTGCGTCTTTACTTGTCCCTTGTGCTTGCTGTGCATTTATCACTATAGTGTCTTTTTTTTTCCTCTAGAAAAAGGTCTTGATGAAGAATCCCCGCTCCGGCCGTTGTATATGGATGTCCAGGCAACTACTCCACTGGTTGGTGAAATTATGTGAACATACCCTAGTGCCCTAGAATGAACCCTGTAGTTGTAACCAGATGGGGTACATGCATAATGGGTAGGGATAAGATGTCATAGATTCTGTGACTTCCAGAGATCTCCATGACACTGTCTGCCTGAGCCGAAGCTCTTGGGCAGCTCTTGGGAGGGCGTTGTGGATGCAGAATCCTCCCACCTCAGCCAGACTTGGGCTCTCATCCCCCACCCCTCAAGCTTCAGTCATTCCCCATCAGCTCCTCACCCCTATTACTTTTAGTAAAAGTCACAGACCGGTCACGGACTGCTGTTAATTTTTTTGGTTTTTGCCAGTGATCTGTGACTTTTACTAAAAACAACCGAGACAAAATCTTAACCTTAATGATGGGGAATGCAGATTTCCATGAGCAAATCAGAGTGCTCATGAGTAATTCTGGGAAGAGCTGTATTCTTTTTAGTGCAGTACTCTTGCCAGAAGAATGATCACTTTGTAATGAAGCCCAATATCTGCTCTTCCTTGTTTGTTCTTGATGTGTCGTTCCTTCCCATACTGAATCCCTCTATTAGCTTCCTTTTCTTACCACATGAAACTCAAGCTTCGTGTTCTCATAGTGTACATAATCTCACGCCCAATTACATCTTGGCTTTCCCCAGCACCCGCTCCTTCTCACTGCACTCTTCCCAAGGAACGTTGAAAACACGGAGGGATTGAGAAGAGACTGCCTTATTTGTGCTTAAAAGAAAGTCCAGTGTTTACACAATTTAAGGCACTCACTATCTTTGTTGATGTGGTGATAAGCGTCTCCATTCAGTGCTACACCAAAGTAACTTTAACGATGGTCTGCAACTAAAATTCTAACCTTGTACTTCAGTAACAGTTGAGGAGCAGGTCTTTCTCCAGAAGTCTCGTCTTCTTCACTCAGCATAATTTTATTATGGCCAGAATGTCTTTCATCAACACTTATATATTGTGAGGTTTAATAATTAGAAATCTCTTTATATTCCTGGGGGAAACATACAATAAATGTACCTTGAGGTGGTGGCTATTATCAAGTACTGTCTTGTCATGTCATTTGAATTACATGCATTCTGAAGTGATGAAAGGTCATCTTGGAGAAAATGTAAAACTTTTCCAGTGACCCTTAGGGGGTCTTGTGTTTCTTCTGCTTAGAAAGTCCTTGCTGTTCTGAGCAGGGCTTTGGAGCTGTGCTCCCGCTCTGCTCCAGCTCCAGGCAAAAACTGGCAGCTCCACTGATCCGGAGCTGCTCCGGGCTCCACTCCAAAGCCCTCCTTCTGAGACAGATTTCTGGTATAGTTCAAGGTTTGACTTGTAAGATTGTGTTGGATGTTATTAGCAAACCTTTGCCAGTCACCGGATAGGTTAATATAGTGCATATGCAAAATGTTTGTGCATTTATAGTAGTTTGGAATAAGCTGACTGCTGTCCTGGGATAAAGCAGAGCAAATATATTGGAGGGGAAAGAAAGAGGGAGGAAAAACAAAATGATTTTTCTCTACTTTTAAAAAAAATTGTCTCTTGTCTTCTAGGACCCCAGAGTTTTGGACAGCATGCTCCCTTATCTAATGCACTCCTATGGAAACCCACATTCCAGGACTCATGCCTATGGCTGGGAGAGTGAGTCTGCTATGGAACGAGCCAGACAGGTGAGGCTTTTCAGCCCCATCACAGAACTTAAATACGTTTTCCTGTTCATAAACTAGTTGCTTAAAAAATCCCCACCCCCATAATTCTGGTTTAGTTCCTAGGAGGCAAGATTTGGCAACTTGATCTCTAGCAACTTAAGAGTTTACTATGTTATGTATAGTTTGGCAAATGCAAAACAAAACACATATATTTTATATTAAAGCAATTTAAGTGGTGGAAGTAAATGACTTGGGGATCTGTCGCGGGGAGGCTTTCCAAAGCTCCTCAGGGGTTTGAAAGTCCATGGGACTTGTCATGCTAAGTCCCTGTGGCAGCTGTGAAAACTCCCCCTCAGGCATGTATCTGCCATTGCGCTAACTAGACGGTCTTCACGTTTTAATACAAGAAGCTAGGTGAATGGATTTTTGCTTTGGTGAGTTTTACATAAGTTAAAGTTTGGGTGTATTTTGGTTGCATATGGGATATATTGCATATTGAATACACTAAATATGTGTTGCATATTTTATTTTCCCATCCCTTCAGGAGGATTTATGTTCACAACAAGTAGTAGTGTTGAATGCGAATGACCTGTGCAAATCCTCCTCCACATTAAAAGAGAAAGTACATGTGTATAATGCCATTTTTAAACACAGTATCTATAATCCTGTTTAGGTTGGGCTAGTATTGGGGTAGAGGAGATGTTCTGGGAGATGCTGTACATATTCTCTGTGTGTGATTAACTCAATTTTCATGTTTTAAAATAGCAAATAATATTTTTGTTTCGTTTTAAACAGCAAGTTGCATCATTAATAGGAGCAGATCCTAGAGAGATTATTTTTACCAGTGGTGCTACAGAATCAAATAATTTAGCAATTAAGGTAAATGTCTGGTTTATACTACAACTGATATATACTAAATTACTTTGAAATCTGTAACGGTTTGGGGTTTAAGTCCTGTTGTCCAGCTGCCAGTGATCAAAGATTCTAGTGGAAGGCTTGGTATCTTTGTTTTGTTACATTCCTAGTTTGACCAACTTGTAACATGAAGGAATGGATTGCCATGCCACAGTATAGCTGGAGGGAGTGGTGGGCTAGTGCTGGTGTGGTGAGCAGGAGCAAGCTGGCTCTGACCCATGTTTTGGAGCAGGTGCAGTACTTTGCCTATTCCTTAAAATGAAGAAATGTTTGAACTGTATTGAAATCCCCCACAATTAACCTAGCTGTTCCAGCAAATTCCTTTGGGCCTGAAATTTTCCATTCTTGGTGTTGGAGCAAAGGTGACTTTTTTTTCCCTTCAAGCGTGAGGAAAATCAGTTTAACTGTTTTTGATATATGCACGTGGGGATTAAAAATCCATTTGTCCCAGATGAAGTTTTGTGCTCATTTTACCGAAATTTTGATCATAAAGAGTGGCTGAAATCTTGATGATCAATCTTTTTCCAAAGTTTTTGATCTCACAGGTGATTATTTTCCTTGTTAATATTTAGAAGATTTTTCATTATATATTATATCCCGCCAAAGAAGGAGAAAATTATAAATCCTCACCTAATAAATACTTTCAGAATTCCAAAGCTATATATTTTTGGAAGCAGTTGTAACTAACCAAATGTCTAATTTAACACAAGTAATATTTGTAGATTATAATTGTGAAAGGATAGTGATTGTCTCAGGAGGGACTGGGATGTTGGGTTATCTCCTCACTGCCTCTTCAGATTGAATGTTGATTTGCATATAATTAAAGTTTGCTGGAGTGTTGTGGCTAATTCTCTTCATAAGTAGAGCCCTACCAAATCTGTGGCCATGAAAAACGCATCTTGGACCATGAAATCTGGTGTTGTGTGCTTTTACCCCATACTATTCAGATTTTTTGGGGGAGACCAGTGTTTCTCAAACTAGGGCTCCTGACCCAAAAGGGGGTTGCAAGGTTATTTAGGGAGTATTGCCATCCTTACTTCTGTGCTGCTTTTAGAGCTGGGCGGCCGGAGAGTGGTGGCTGTTGACCAAGGGCCAAGCTCTGTAGCACAGAAGTAAGAGTGGCAATATCATACCATGTCATCCTTACTTCTGTGCTCCTGGTGGTAGCAGCTCTGCCTTCAGAGCTGGGTGGCCAGAGGGTGGTGGCCACTGACTGAGGGCCCAGCTCTGCAGGCAGCAGCACAGAAGTAAAGGCAACAATATCACACCATGTGATTCTTACTTCTGCGCTGCTGCTGGCAGCAGCTCTGCCTTCAGGGCTGGGCTCCCGGCCACCCGCCACCACTCTCTGGCCACCCAGCTCTGAAGACATCGCCACCG